TCAAAGATTCCATTAAGCAGATCACTTCCATTGCAAATGGGTTTCTGTAAACAAGCCTGGAGTAAGACAAACATTAAAATAAATACAGTTAAGTTACAACCGAACTGACCGACTATGAAAATTGTTATTCCTGGTGTAAGAGGGTCTCTTCCGGCCGCCAACATCTGAATGAGTCCAATGTAAGGATGAAGAACCAGTGCTAAATGAATCAGCTACTTCATTGATGATTTTAGTTTTCTGTAGCAGAGTTCTACCCATAGCGCCCACACCTTCAAAGTCACGTGCTCGCTCTGAAGACTCTATCAAATTCAAGGTGGATAAGTTTGCATCATGTAGCTCTTTGGTAGTGAATCCAAAGTTGTTAGCCTGCATAAAACTGGGTGGGTTGTTCTTGCTGCCGCGAGGAGGCAGGAAAGGTCTGAATGATTTAGCCAGGTCTGGGTCAATCTCATCAATCCTGAAAGTGGAAAAATAGTTTTTCCCTTTATACAATTTCTTAAAAAATATAGATGGAGATGCAAACAAAATATCTTTTGAAAATCTACTGAAAACTAAGCTGCAACCATTAAGTCTGCTGTCTCAGGTGCATTTCAATAAGCTCAAACATGGTTGATAAAATAATGAATGCTAAAAATTAAATCAAGCATGCAGCAGTCTGATTAGAAGCACTTGTTACATGTCATAACAGACTCGAGAACTGGACAATGCATACCACTCTTGAGGAAATAAATCTTCCACTGCGAGATGAGATGTCAACTGGTAAAAGGAGAAGGGACCACATTCAGAACCAGGATATAAGACAAATGGTTGGTGCCACAAAAGTCAGCTAGTAAATGGCCCTACAATGAATTAATTAATTTAGCCATCTGGTCAGAATACCTGTCAATCAGCCTGGATTACAAGCCTACAACACAGGCCCTCCGGTTTTGGGACCAGAGGAAGACCACACCATTGGCATATGGGATGTGGTAAGGACACCCTCAAAGTTAACAACATAAACCTTCAGCAGGCCTCAAACCATCTGGGATGCAGCCAACTGCACCTCCCTGCAATGCCTCCCCCTAGTAAAAATTGGACAGAACAAGAATAGGAATGAATAAACAACTCACTTATGCTTGACTGTACCACCCATCATACGCTGCCGTGCACTTGACAAGATTTCCTTATTCCTCCTGTCCAGCACGACCTCTTTAGAGGAATTCCTTATATTTCCAAAATGTTTCAAAGACTTTCCCAGTTCATTGGTGAACCTTTCATCATTGGTCACTTTGCCTGTTGATATGAACACAGATTTATTTTTAATGGTTGGCCTTAAGCGGCAAATTTGTTTTTAATTGTTATTTTAAAGTGTTTTCTTTTAAGGAATATATTTGCCGTTTTTCTTCAGTTTGTTAGCAAACAAAAGGCTGAAGTTTCCAACTGTTGGTATAGATCAGCCTGATAAAAAGGACAGCCGTTATCACAAAAGGAGGTCCTTCTATACGGTATAGCTTGTGTTTGAGTCTACAAAATGTATGCTAGTCAAGAAATTTTCATAATTTTAGGGTGTAACTTTAAAATAATGAGTGAAAATAAAAGTACCACTCTTCTTCCTAAAGTCCCCTAAAAGCCCCTTGCACACTTTCCCCTTTTAATACAATTAACTTTCATTCCTTTATTGCCTCACAAAAACTAACCTGGTCCAGCTGATCCTTTATTTGATGCCCCGATAAATGTGACCCCAAGTTTATTGTTTTTCTCAGCTATAGCTGGTGGTGTAGTGAAAGCACCATTATCAATCATGGAAGGAATCTGCAAAACTGCTTTGATTTGCCTGATGGCATCTTCTCTGTTTCGTGCCACGGATGCATCTTTCCTTTTACCTTTCCTATCAGATAAAAAGTTATGCAGTGATATTTAAATCTTTTGAGGACACAGAATGAAATTTAGTCAAATGAAATAAATAAACAATTATTCATGTTTAAAAAGAATTGTTTGAATTTTTGTTCAGCTTCCAGGTAAAGATCACAGAAATCCTTGCAATTCTTTCTGCTTAAAAAATTTAGTTTTTTTTAACTTATTTGAAATGATGAAGTTTCATGACCAGAAAAACACTAAAATAAAATTCCTTGATTAGTAAAAAAAAAAAAAGTTGCTATGAAAGTTCATCTAAGAGTCTAGAGCCATTTTTTAAAATTATATTTTCAGTAGCATCAACAGTTTATTACATAAAAATTTAAGCAGATTTAAAATTGAATAACAAATAAATTAAATTTGCTTTGTTAATGAATAACATTTAGGAATTGCCATACTGGCAACATTTCTTGGGGTCCTACCTTATTCTAATCTCTGTGATGGCCAGAAGGTGCTGTAATGTGCTCATGCGGTGCATCAACATTCCAATCATTTGTAAGATCAAAAGCAGTAACAGAAGAGCCACAAAGGCAAAGCCAAGGATACTTTCCTGGTAGCGGGAACAAACAAATCCATTTTACTGGTTAAGCTATAATCAGAAACAGTTTGCCGACATGAAAATACCAAGTGGAGAATTTACTT